TTATCTTTTGACGTCACAATGCTCAGAAAACGATATCAAATTCGCTGTATTGTACACACGGAAGTAAATTTTGTTGACTGCATTTTGTAAACAAGAAATAATTGAATTTCAAAGTGTAATAATAATTTGAAACTTGGTGCGGACATTTTTTAATAAGTATATGATATTATTACAATTTAGTACGTAAATTTATTCATCATTTGGTTTAAGTATTTAACTTGATACGGGGCATTAGACATGCACAATGCTAGCTCTGGATCAGCGATTAAAACGATCAATGATAGAGCAATAAGTATTTGACAAATTGTTATGGGTGTAATTTCAAAAGTTAAGAGCCCCGTGGGGATCCGGGTTAGAATAGGTCCTCAGTACCCCCTTGCTTGTCGTAAAAGGCGACTAAATGGGGCGGTTCTTCGGATGAGACAGTATAAACCGAGGCCCCGTGTCACAGGAGGTGTGGCACGATAAAGATCCCTCCCTGCTCAAAGGCCATAAGTGCCGAGCAAAGGCCTAAATTTGCAGCCCTTCACCTGCAATGGTGACGTCTCCATATCAGTAAAATATTCTGGAGAGGGACGTTAAACAGTATACAATCAATCATCAAAAGTTATGAAAATGTTTGAAATCTTTAAAAACTTGAATGAGCGTAAAATATATATCACTGACTATTGAATTCATGATGTGAAATAAAAAAGTCACACTTTAATTTGCGTTGAGATCTTCAACTCTTAAACAATACATGTATCAAAATACCCCGTATATCTCGACATTTATTTCTTAGACATTTATTTCTTAAAGTTCCGTCGAAATCGAGATAAGACTTTATATCATAATCCTAACATGACTCTACGGTAAGTAATTAATATTTACATCTGCTGAATTTTTTCTCCTTTATATCTTAAGAAAACCCATTGCGTTAATTACTGCATGAACTACAGTCGGTATGTCGCCTGTACAGATTTCTTATTCAGTGTCCGTTCCATTAATGAAACGTATAAAGAAGTTCGCATCATGAATACAATATTTAAATAAATCTTTTTTATCTTACTTTAGATAATTATTTAAACAGATATAAACATAAACAATAAAATGTCTTTCTTTGTTTGTTATTACTGGAATTAACGGTCGCAGCTATTGCAGAAAAAATTACATATTTTTCTGCAACAGCTGCTTCCGTTAATTCCAGTAATAACAAAGAAAACATTTTATTGTTTAAATAAACAAACACAACTAATTCTTCTTTTAAAGAAAATATTGGCCATTACAGTCGCACGCAAGTAGCAACGGGGGTTGGAATGGGAAATGGGTTTACATTGAAGCCCCTCCCCCTCCACACACACATACACACTTTTTGTTGCAGCATAGTCAAATTTGTGCACTGTAGGCCAAAAGAATGAGACAGTGCATTATGTTTGATAAGGAAAATTAGAAACTGAAGAAGACTAAACCTACCCCCTCCCCAACAGCGAAATTGGATTCGAGTTTCGACACCCCCCATATTTTTTTTTATTTGGTTGTGTAGTTTTTTTAAGGTAAATTTTTTTTCTGGCTGAACCCCCCCCTCTTTTACTAACGAGTTGTGTGGGGAGAGGCGAAGGAACGGGTCATTTTTTTAAAAAAAATATGTTTGGTATGTTCTACCTAGGGAAAATGGTTTGCCTCAATATTTTCAGCGAAAGAGAGTCAAATTTGAGCGATAGATTATTACTTATTTCACAGCATCTCCTGACGTACGAGGGTTGATCCAAAAGTAATGTCACAACTTTGATAAAATTGCTATAAATCGACGTAAAGCAAGAAAATTATACATGATCGACGCTTAATTTATTTCAAATCAGACCTGAAAAATTCAAAAGAATATGATGTATTCTTTTCAAAATATCGGATTTTAAACAATGCGCGTTTATGGTAGTCGCCGCACCTAAATATAACGTCATATGACGGATACACACCGTCATACTTTTAAGTGTTTCCCCTTTATTTCATTATTTTTTTTTTTGTGATTCGCAAACACTTTCACCAATTCCACTTTCTTTAAGAATTCTTGGTACCATTATACACTTACTCTTTTCATAATTAAGCCCTCTGTAAATTTTTTTTTTGAACAGCAGCATAAGAAAAACTTAAAAATTCACATGTCACTCTATACGTCCGCCTCTTTTGACAACGTCAGACACCATTGAACGTGTCCGTACATTGTCCGATCTTCTGTCTTTCGGTCTTTTTGTCCTCTACTAATCATTCAGACACCAATCACCCGCCCAAAATTGCTGAAACCATCTTTTAAGATGTCTCTTGTTTACATTCTTTATTCTGTAAGTCTGATTGATTAAGGAAAATGTCGCTAGTGATGATTGAAATATTTTGAAGATATGTTGCTTCACAATGTTGAAAAAATCTTTATTCCCTATGTTACGGAGGTTTGAGAGACTTTACCCCTTGACCGCTTAAATCAGACGGCAATTGCGATATTTGATGTTTACAAGGCCCATCGTACACAAGCAATGATTAATTTATTAACGGAAACCAATATTAAGCACATATATGTACTAGCAGCGTGCACTGACCGATTAAAACAGTTTGATAAATCAGTAAATTACGATTACAAAGAATCTTCTAAAAGACCTCGATCCATTTATGGTACTGGGATCATGTGATCAATTGTATAGAGCAGGAAAAAACGATGGTGATTTTGAAGCGGTAGATTTGCGCACGTACGTCGTCCACTCTAAACTTAAGCCAATTTACACCCAATAGATTATTGACACCCATACAGAAATGGGCAAAACAGAAGAATTTATTAAGACTGGCTTCCACAAGGCGGGTTTGTAATTACTCGCAAACCTCCGTACCACATGAATGAATTCCTTGAACTGTAAAACATCAAACGGTACAGTGTGTACAACTGGTATAAGTGTTAGATAAGCTCAGCAATTAGATATTATAATATTGCTCACATGATATATCAAAATCATGTTTAATTTGATTTTTTTTTTACACTTTTTCATTGTGTTGACTAGAATAAACCTGAATTTTTGATAATTTTATTGTTGTTGAAATTTTTTTATTGTCGAATTATAAATTTTATCTCAAACGTGTGGGTGATACAGGCCTTTGGATAAACTTATGCTTTATCAACGGGTAGATGCTTTATCAATAGCCGGTTTTGACACGATCCTTCTTTTCAAGATTTTATTTTATTGAAACTTTTATTTGTGAAAATTATTGCCCTTATAAAATGCATGACAAAGAGCAGTAATATCGATAAAAGCAAGAAAAAGACTAGTATATGTCAAAGAAGTGTCTTATTTTATCAAGAACCTGTATAGATCTGACAGATGTTACACCCCCCCCCTTTAAATCGTTTTCGGAAAAGGTAAAGACTAGCAGTTAAATTGTTGTTATGAGATTCCTTAACATCTTCAATCATGCTTTCTTATATTATTCAACTTAAGCCTACCTAGTACATGTAATGTAGGTGTAACTTTAACTTACCATGGATCAACAATGAATCTACAAAGTCTTGCCTAGCACGTTTTGTACTGCCACCGTACAAAGAGTTAATTTTTACGATCCCACAACTTTCAGTCAGAAGTTCGTTTGATGTAATTTAGATCCAGCAATTGTCTCATACGTTTTCAAAGACGCAGATGGAAAATAACTTATGAACACGATCTACTTTCTTTCAACATCAACGGTGCTACGTCATCAAGTTATACGTCATCAATTTGAATTGGCAATCATTCATGCAGTTTTGCAGGGGAAGTCTCAGTTTTCAAACTAAAGTTGTATGAGATAAATAGAACATCTATAATTGAAGGATACACAGTATATCTGGTCAGTAAATCAATTATCGATGTATGTCTACCGTGTAAACACAGATCAGATGTCACGCGTCTTTGATATATAGAATATCACACTGCTCTTATGATCTCGGCCCTGGTATCAGCTCGAGCGGTTGGTATCCGCCCAAGCCCGGAGGGCGCGGGCCGAGACCACCCGAGGGCTGATACCAGGGACGAGATCAAAACAGTGGTGTGATGTTGTTTATTTCCTACCTAGCTTGTAACACGAGCTTTGATTGGTTACAAAGTCGGGTGTAAATATTCGTGCACCCGACTTGAGCCGGGTGTAAATAAAACGTGACGTCACAATGCATACATTCTCAGTACGTAGTTATCTAATCGATAGATTGAGACACACTGATGTTTACGAAGCTTTTTTTATTGGTACAAAGGAAATAAATTCGTTATCCAGGTCCAATCAAGGGTGTACGGGGATTTTAAATCTCCGTACACCCTTGATTGAACCTGGATAACTAATATTATATCATGTATCTAAAACCAAAGAAAAGAACAAATATTTTGCTTAAGTGCATTTGAGGCCCAGGTCTAACCTAAAAGGAGTGGGGTATGTAGGATGCTTATCGGATACACATTTCTTTACTGTTAATCATAATAGTTAATCAAACAATGTGAGGAATATTATAAATTCCAAATACATATGACGGAAAAGCAAATAAAAGAAAACGGCAAAGTTAGTAATTCATAAATTATCCCTCGTTTTCAACGATCGTTATTATCCTAGACACAACAAACAAAACAAAAAAACTGGTTCCTTAATTTTTTTTCACAATGTGCATTAAAATTGTGAATTTTGGTTTCATGAAGCCTAATAGATAAAAAAAACATATAAATTGCATTAGTCCCAAACTACTGACGTAAGCTCATGATCTTTCGCTTGGCGAAATTTGCAGGCCGGTTGAAATATTAAGAACAGAAAAGAAATCAACTTTCAAAGCGTTATCAAATAGAAAACTCATACAAATTGAATAATCTTATATCTATTTTTACTAAATTTCTTCTTGCTAATATTTATCTCTTTGCAATATGTACAATAGTTTAGTAATCATCGTGAAAATATGTCCTAAGACTTTACTATGTAATTTGCATCACGCGAGGGATAAGCGTACCTCATAATAAATTTAAAAAAAAAATAAATCCAGAGAGATTATCTTTATTTGAAAAGAGTGTATAATCAAAATCGGTGCTACAAGTGAACGGCACGATCAATTCCATGTAATATTGATGCTCCATAATCAGCTGATGAATTGACGCTTCTCTCCGGGCAAGGTTCACATCAGCTTCTCTAAGAGAAATCTTGCATATTCAGATTGCCCCTCTTCTTACTCAGCTTACCTCTTGAATCAACTGAAAAGGGTTCGAGAGCACAATGATTCCACGATTATCATCACAAATCATTTCGGAAGGATATGACTGAAACCCCAAGCTGAGGATTCATTAGGCGTACACATCACGAGGGATGTATAAAACTCCATCTTTTTGATCGGTCAATTTTCAAATGAATACATCTCTTTGAAGAAAATACAAGATACACAAAATAAGGATCATCAAAGAGGGACTGGTCACTTTAGTTTGTCCGTTATCTTGGGCCGTGGATCCGTTCTCTTGGCTCTGTGATGAAGTTGAACTCGCTGCAAATACAAGAAAATATTCTTTTTGTATTTACTTTTTGCATCGATAAAAATTATTTTCGTGTTATTTTGTTCAATTGCTCAGTTTCATTATTACATTTCAGCTCTTCCCCATTCACAATTGTTACGATTCGTTCAGAATGTATTTCTAATAATCTAAAAAGAATCATTTATTCAAATTACGAATGTAAACCATGTCGTACAGGGTGTTCTGGTGGTGCTAGGCGTCGTGTTTATTGTTGATTGTAGTTGAGGAACAATTTCCACTGACAGCCCGTCGAATTTACATGTAAAGTTCATTCCCGGGGTATATGGAGAAGTATACTTCATACCATTGTCAAGAGCTATACGAAATAATAAGTCATCATTTCTCATTCAATTTCACTAGCGCTTTTTAGAATACTTCATACTTAAAAAACTTCATTCAGCCACTACTGCAATTTTCATTAGGAAGAAATTGGGTAATATTCAAAGAAAAAAATATAAAAATTATACTAAAAAAAATCAAAGTAAAACTGTATAAGAAGTTCTAGTATTGTCAGTCCGTACTCAAATCTGTACAGACTAAACAAATTTAACATACCCGATTTAACGTAAATAATTAACAAAAAGCTTTTTTCACCTGTCTTTGACGTAAAATTACGAAGAATGCCGCTGTTATTATGTTCTTAAAATATTCATGTTCTTTTAGATACAAGAAAATGTAGTTCTTTTCTTTTTTAAAAGAGACATTCAAATTGCTTACGATGCAATTAAGTCGTCCAGGACCCTATACAGTTACAACTAGGGCTGTGTTGAGACAAAAAAATCAATACGATACGGTATTTTATAATGCGATATCCGATATATTAGATTCTTTAACAAGTCTATCAAAAAAAGTCCTATAATTCATTTAATGCATCAATTTTATAAAAACTGATTGTTATAAAATCCAATTTTCAAATATTTGCCTCGCTGTCATAACAAATTACATTTCAAATTCAAACTTTAAATGACTGTGAATAGGCCTGTGTATTGAGCCAATAATTTCGATACAATGCAAAACAATATTTTTTTAAAGCGATATGCGAGATATTGGATTCTAAAACAAGTCCATCAGAAAAGGCTTCCAAATCATTTTAATGCATGAATTTCATAACAATTAAGTGTTTTATAACCCATTTTAAAGTTCTTACAAATAACACTTCAATTTAAACCTTTAATGACAGTACAATAAACGTTCAAATAAAATTATCTTTGTATTTTGAAATAATTATAAAAACTGTTATATCCTTATAAATTATGTAATTATTGAAAGTTTTAATTTAAAAAAAAATATATATATATATATATATATATATATATTCTTTGGTGATTGAATTTCCCATCTTTTTAACAGAATTAGAAAAAACTGTCTGTCCGATACGTATTGGGAGTTAATTTTTCGATATTATTCTTGAATATTGATACAACCCTAGTTCCAGCCTTGTTCTGTTATATACAAAAACCAGTTATGAATTTTCCACAACGCTGCATTGAAAAATTTGCCAAATTATTCCCCCTTACCAATTGCAATGGATATGCCTTTTAAAAAATCAATCGCTGTGCAAGGCTTGCATGTATATTCTCCATACTTGACTGTATTTGATTACGATTTTTAACCCAATGAGGAATAAGCTCTTTGATTTATTATTGAACATTCAGTCACGGTAGTCCAGTTACAGCATTTGCAAAGTAATGGAGAGGCCTGACTTCGTACGTCATTCAAAGCATTGCGTCGAAGTTAAGACCTTATGTTTAGAAGACGCCCTTCGTTACGTTCTTGGCAAAAGAAGTGATTTTAAGAACAGTAAGTGTTGGCACGATAAAGAACATTCCTTCCTCGATGTACACGAGTGCCAAGCATATTTCCAAAGTTAAAAAACTTACAACTTCAGTTATGCGCGCTATGTACCATAAATGGAAAATACAACAACATACGACTTTTAAAATTTAATCTTTCGATTTTCCATTTGTATGAATCAGTAGTGATTACTTTGGATGATAACAAAGAGGCCCATGGACAAATCGGTCACCCGAATCAATTTGGCCATTGCTATTCTTACCAGACCCCCTCCACCGTAATTCCTATTGTGACCCCACCCTACCCCAAGGGGTCTTGATTAGGACAATTTAGAATCTAGACTACCCAAGGTTGCTTCCACTTAAGTTTCAGCTTCTCTGGCCCAGTATTTCTTGAGAAGATTTGTCAAATTCAATAAAAGCAAAACGGATTTGTTGTGGCCCCGTCCTATCCCCAGCTACAGGGGTCATGGATTGTAAAATTTGGAATCTACACTAACCCAGGATGCTTTTTCTGGCCCAGTAGTTCTTGAACAGAAAATTTTTAAAGATTTTGCTATATATTTCAATGTTAAAACTTGGATTTCCTATTGCTGCCCCGCCCTATCCCCGTGGGTCATTATTTGAGCAATTAAGAATCTACACTACCGAAGGATGCTTCAACAAACGTTTTAGCTTTTCTGGCCTAATGGCTTTTGAGAAGTAGATTTTTAAAGATTTTTTCTATATATTTCGATGTAAAACTAGTATTTTCTATTGCACAATTAAGAATCTACACTAACCTAAGATACTTCCACATAAGATTCAAAATTCTAGCCCAGTAGTTCTTGAGAAGGTATTTTTAATGACACATCCTATTTTGTCTTTTTTTTGATAAACTCCATTTGAAAGGGAACCTGGGCATTCATTTTTTAAAAATTAAACTCCCTTCACCTACATGTAAGGATGCTTTGTACCAGGTCTGGATAAAATTGGCCCTGTGGCTCTTTAAAAGAAGTCGAAAATGTGAAAAATTTACAGACGGACGGAAGATGGACAAAATTTGATCTGAAAAGCTTATTTGAGTCGTTGGCTTAGGTGATCTTAAAACGAGATACTACTGGGCATTTACAATCCAGGTAAGCTAAAACTCTTTTGGGTATTAACATAACATTAACTCCCGAATTCCGCAAAGTGTGGATAGTACATAATAAGGAAATCTGCAGCACTGGACAAAAATCAGGGATGATACTTTTTCTGCTTAAACTGTAAAACCTTTGTTAACCTTCTGTCTTCACTGACAACATTCGAATTTGCAACCCAAGGATACATGTGAACTCCTTACTCTGTCGCTCTTTAAGAAAACAAGACCTTTTGTAAGGATTTTGCTAAGGAGTCCTCTGAATACAGAGGAGAATATAAATATGTATACCTTTAACATCTCCATAAGTGGCATGACATTTGTTCGTTTTATTCCACCTGCAATGTGCCAATTCGTTGTCGTTAACAAGGCGTATACCCGTCAGGGAAAAATTGAAGGACGTATGCTCACAGGAAATAGTAAAGTGCGTCTTGTTATAGTACGCCATTGTTTGAAACCCAGAAACTGAAAAAAGAAATGTATTTAGGCTTGTAAACATTGCAACGAATATTTTCATTGATGAAGGCACACACGCGCACTTTATTCGTGTTTATCAATAGGTATTGTGTGTTCAAAGAATTAGTTAAAGTGCATATTATAAATCAACTTCTTTTTGCATGTGTCTAAAAGCTCCCTCGTAGAATAAACTATTAACTTTTTTTGTAAAAAACATGTTAACTACATGTAACAAAATAGAATTCTCTGTGTTTTTCTACGCTAGGGGTAGTTAACAAACATCGGCTCTGCAACTTAGGAAGAGCGTCACGGATTAAACCTTTTGCTATTGAGGTTAATGTATTTAAGAATGCTTGATTACTTTTTAACTAAGCAATGACACAAACTCGAAGGAACCGGTGTGCTATTTTTTTTTCAGCTATACGAGTAAAACATATTTAATACCCCCCACCCCCTTTTTGAAGTTCGGAGTAGGTTTCGATATCTTGTAGTGTATTATTTTGGCTTTTATTGTTTTCATTTGGGGGTTTTTGCTATAACTCTCTCTTCTTTGACACAAATTCCAACGGGGACTGAAAAGTTTTTTTTTTCTAAGACCTAAGAATGATTGCATGATTAGTATGGCGCAAAAAGACTACTCAGATATGGTGCCTTGTTCCTTATAATAACTATATCTTTTGATCAAAGTGTTTACAAAATTATTCCAGACATTTCTATCGTACATGTATTTAACACATGTCCCTTTTTCTATGAGAAATTCAGTGTCAATTCAGTGTTCAAATAATGGCTAACAATTAGTATGAAAAATGTTAGTCAGCATTTGACTCAATCATAAATTGTATTTGCTGTCTTTGTATCCACCATAGAACTTACGAAATGATAACTGCTGATATTCTTGTTTCATCAACTTGTTTGTCAGTAATTTAATTACCTTGTTTAAGACATTGTTCATTCGTAAAGCATGCTCTAGCGTATCGAATCAACTGAGATATATAACCTCCACGTAAAGGTATATTGTTGCATGGGTAAGGGAAGTTGACGATTCTAAAGTTGGCCATTAAGTTTATCATAAAGCTTGGTTGTTAGATCACTATTAATGTCTTTTTTCGAGTAAAATATCCAAATGTGAAACAGATATGTCAGACTCTGTGGTATCTTTTATTAAATAGATATATAAAATCATCTTTGTATGACATTAATATAAATCAAAAGATTTGAATCTTTATGATTTAAAAAAAGAATAGGTAAAGAATTCGAAATATTTAACCAGTGAGAGAACTATTTAGTGTATCATAAAACAAAGTTACTATGTTTTGTTACTACATGACATTGTCTCTCAAGCCACGGTTTGGCATCCACTTAGAGCTATATCTCCTATCCGTGCTGCTTGATCACATAAATTGTCATAATTTTGAATGTGCTGTGACCTTATGAGTAGGCAATAACGATATTTGTTTCCATCGCTATTGAAATCAACAACTGACATCATCAGCTAACAAACATACACTTTATTTCGTTAACTACGATTGGGTATTGAAAAGTCGCGTCAAAGTTCATTTTCCGACTATGCTTCACTCGCATTGGTCACTATTTTTATGAGTAACGGCCAGAATGGGATTTGACCGCAGTTTGCGACGACTTTGTGTATCGTAAAAAATAACAAAATGCATTCATAACAAAAACAAATCAATAGAAGTTAGTTGACTTACGACAAGGCTTAAGAAGAATATTTTGCTGCACATCGCTGCTGTTAGAACATGTAGTATTCACCCACAGTATTTTTCCTGCATGTATAGTGTGGTTAAATGGAGTTGTTATGGTTAGAATCCCACTGGTGTTGTGAGAATAATTCACTAAATTCCCGGTTTGACAACGTAGCTCGTCATTTATGAGCCTACAGTCTGCTATAATATATGAAAGTATGCTGAAAACGATGTTTATAATGTCACATTCCAACGAAATCGAAATTCTCAATTCCTCCGAGTGACAATTCCCTTCAGATAGTGCATCAGAATTAATAATTGTTCCAGATATTCCTTGAAAGGAGAGAAAAGTTCGTAAGGTAATGAAAAGAGTTTTATTAAAATGAACATTAATTGAAAAAAAAATTATCTTCTTTCTGAATATCATTATTCAAGATGCACCTTGATATTTGTTGGCGCATATATATCGATGGAAGAAAGGAATACTGACAGATGATACAAGCAACTTACATTAAACTAGAGGCCCATGGGCCACATCGCTCACCGCTTTGACCAGTCTGTTCTTTACCAGAATTCCCACTACTAATACATAATGCATCCCCACCCTACCCCACTGATCATAATTTAGACATTTTGAAATCTACACTACCCCAGGATCCTTCCATGTGCACATAAGTTTCAGCTTTTCTGGCCCAGTGGTTCTTGAGAAGAAGATTTTCAAAGATTTTTCCAATATATTTCTATGTAAAACTTTGATTCCCCATTTTGGCCCCACCCTTCTCCCGGGGGTCATCATTTGAACAATTGGGAATTTACACTATACCAGGATGCTTCCACATAAGTTTCAGCTTTTCCGGCCCAGTGGTTCTTGAGAAGAAGATCTTCAATTATTTTTTCTATATATTTTTATGTAAAAATTTTATTCCCAATTGTGGCCCCGCCCTTCCCCGGGGGTCATGATTTTTACAATTTAGACTCTACGCTACCCCAGGATGCTTCCACATAAGTTTCAGCTTTTCTGGCCCAATAGTTCTTGAGAGAAAGATTTTCAAAGATTGTTCCTATATATTTCTATGTAAAACTTTGATTCCCCATTGTGGCCCCGCCCTTCCCCGGGGGATGGGGGGGGGTCATGTTTTGAACAATGTAAAATCTACCCTATACCAGGATGTTTCCACATAAGTTTCAGCTTTTCTGGCTCAGTGGTTCTTGAGAAGAAGATTTTCAAAGATTGATCCTATATATTTCTATGTAAAACTTTGATTCCCCATTGTGGCCCCGCCCTTCCTCTGGGGGTCATGATTTGAACAATTTAAAATCTACATTACCCTAGAATGCTTCCACATAAGTTTCAGCTTTTCTGACCCAGTGGTTCTTGAGAAGAAGATTTTCAAAGATTGATCCTATATATTTCTATGTAAAACTTTGATTCCCCATTGTGGCCCCGCCCTTCCTCTGGGGGTCATGATTTGAACAATTTAAAATCTACATTACCCTAGAATGCTTCCACATAAGTTTCAGCTTTTCTGACCCAGTGGTTCTTGAGAAGAAGATTTTTGAATGACCCCACCCTATTTTTGTCTTTTCTTGATTAATTACCCTTATGAGGGAATTTGGCACTTTATTTTAATGATTTCAATTCCTCTTTACCCAGGGATGCTTTGTACCAATTTGAAGAAGTCGAAAATGTGAAAAGTTTACAGAAAGACAGACAGATGGACGGACGACGGACAAAATGTGATCAGAAAAGCCCACTTGAGCCTTCGGCTCAGGTGAGCTAAAAATCAAAATAACAACTAATGCTATATAATGGAAACGAATAAGTTTAACCGCATACACTTTTAGTTTCTATTTAAAAGTTTCACAATAAGGCGATTTAAGGTGAAAAAAGGGAATAGACTGATAACGATGACTATGAATAGGTGAAATATTGAACACTTGTATCATAGATTAGAGAGATAAAAAATCTCTTTATTTTTTTTAGATATTTATATTCATTTAATTTAAAATTAAATAGGTCAAAAATATATTCACATATTAATAAAACAATTCACACATCTATTTTTGGTTTGTTTCATCCGTCCTTCAACTTAACACGCCCCAAATACGAATCATTTAACAGTTACAACGGACATTCACCGAATAAAAGTATTAATGAATTCGTTATTTAATAGACATTTTCTGCTCAGTACACCCCTTCTGACTTACCATGTGGAATTAAAAAGGCTCCTACAAAAAATAAGCCTGTTGTCACTTCTAGGGTAACCATGTCTCTGGTGTCGGACTTTCCTGTAAAATTTAAAAGTGATTTTTATGCCAGGCTTTATTTTTAGAATATGACATCGTTTGTATATATATACCCGTTGACCTATTTAAATTTCCATCGAGCTTGGGGAACATGCCTTTTTATTGGTAGTGTTTATCTTTCACTGTATAATTTAAAAGACTGCCACCTATTCATGTGTATTGATTTATCTATGGACTGCATTCCAGTGTCGCTTCATTTAATTTTGGCGAAAGGATAGTATGCTTACAATCCCTTTTGTTTTAAGTCCATCTTTTGCTTGCCCCTTACTGACTCGGGGTAAAATAATTTGGTCGGTAAGTAAGAGGAATTTTTCCAAAATATACCGGGTACATATTTATTGACGGGATAAGAGGAATTAAAATAAAGAAAAAAAACTAGTGTGTCATGGAATGTAAAAAAAGTTTTGAGTTGGGCCATTTTAGTCAATCGATCGGAAGAGGACCAATAAAAAATTATTTAAAGATTGCCTATGACACATAAACTTATTTTATCAAAATGTTAGTTGTGTTATTATTCTGAATATCCGATTCATTTAAGGATCTCCCATCCTCAGCCAGGAAGAGTAACCCAAAAATTGATGTTTAATTTGAAATGCATCAAAATGAAGCTTGAAAATGAATTTTTTTCATGCAACAATTTTCATTTTATTCATCTTTATAAGATTCAAAGGTTTTTGGAAGTCTTAGAAAAGGTCTAATAAAAGTTGAAAATTGTACCCTATAAAAGGAAAATGAAAATTAATACAGTTTTAGAGAAATACGATTTTCTTGAATCTAGCCTTACATACCAATGTTTATTAGCATGATATGAAATGAAAAGTGATTTGTGGTGTCTTGCAATGATAGGAAGAGCCTTGTACACTAAGTGTTATAGAATAGATGACGGAAATAGAAGATCGAGATACCCAATAAGTATAAAAATCCTGGAAGTATAAAAATATTGGAGATATGACATTTTCCCCTTAATAATATGATTAACTTTAATCTTTTACTTTAAAGAAATACTGTGGATAAATTTCAGAGAAACTTTTATGAGTATTTATGATTACTAAACTGCTAATTTTATAAACCTGAGGATCGGACTACCTTAATGAAAAAAAATGTACATGTAAGTAAAACTGTTTCATATGAGGGAATAAATTAGAGATATGCTCGAATAAGTATGAGTTATAAATCGATAAAACTTACATCGTGAAAAATAACCCTGTGATAAGAACCTATCAGTATTGAAGATAAAACGTTTATTATTTGTAAAAATCTTGTTTTAAACAAATACATTATTGACGATTTTAAACCCCCCCCCCCAAAAAAAAAAATCAAGGGCACCCTTCATTTGCATAAAATAAACTTCCACTGCGATTCTTGGCATGTTCCTTTCAAACGTCACATTTTGAAATCGATTAAAAAAGGTGTGCCAAAGGTATAATTAACTCAAAGGAAATTCCATTACAACGACAGTTGGGAAACTATTTATAACTGAATTTGTATCTTTTTTTATATAAATTGTTAATTATTGACCGTGTCATTTTGATACATGTTTATTAAATTAAAAACTGTAAAAAAAAAAAAAACACAAAAAAAACAAACACACATACATATTTAACAATTAATTAATAATGATGGGTTAATTCTAGTTAATGAAAATGTATTAATTAAAATCAGGTACGTTATGAACAGAAGTGTCTAAGACACTACCTAAGGTCTCATAATATTAGGTACACACAATGTTGACTTCTACTGTCAACACTTTTAAAGACTGTAACGTCGTCAGTCATTGTATTTAAGATTTAATTGAACATTTCATCATAATTAGGGGGTTCGGGTAACCCGACTTACCTATGTAATCGTGCCATTTACACACAATTTATTGATGTTTATAAACGTAATTTTTGCATTATTATTCATATTTATCTAGAAATTAAATATAATTAATTTTTCTACATTGTTTGAGCTTTTGTATGATGTGTGCGTTATGTCATTCTGAAAAGTTTGCATTAAAAATTAACCCGGTCAAAGTTGTGCTAAAATTGGATACGGGTTTTCCCGTTTGATGCATGGCACTGTAAAATTTGTCTCCACGACGTTGATAGCGTCCTTTTGATTGGCTTTCCGGGAGGCGATTTTTAAGGAATTGACGACATTGACCTATCACAGGAATGCTTACATTTTGAAGATCAACATTGTTAATGTTGCATCTCGATGCAATGTGCAGAAGTTTATGTATTTTCGTTTCAAAGGAAAGAGGTCAATTTTACTACGGTAAGTAATCGAAATATTTTTATGCAACAAACACTATCAGAGAGTTGAGGAAATTTCCTATCTGAATATTGTGGTTCTGCAATAATTTTGGAAAATAATTCACCCGGATGCCAATCAAAAGTCGTCAACCCAACGCAACTTTTGAATAGTTTCTATGTACCCTTAAATTCATGCACACTTTTGTATCGTAAAACCGCAAGAGAAAATAGAAATGTGACATTAAATAATGTTAGGATCGACTTATTGGAAAAAAAATCTATGAAAAATTTAATCATTTCCTATAACTAATAAACAGGGTAAACAGGGACCTATATACTAACGGTCCCTGATATAAATGTACAAATTTGATTCTGTTGCCAGGATTTCCTCCAGATTATGAAATACATATAATGTACTGTTTAATAACCGAATAGCCCGAAGTTCTAATGTGTTAAACGAAAATGCTTATTTATTGTTTTACTTCTAACTAGACCGTATAAAAATATTTATAATTTTCTTTGTGAACATGATACTTTGTGGTTGATTTTTTTTTTCAGTGAGTATATACAGTCAGACTTCGGGAAAATGCTAGGATCATTCCATATCATGACTATGGTACCCGCCGGTAGTAGCAGATGTCTGGGATAAACTTAACATTCACCTTGTCCAGGAAGCATGGATAATTTAGACTGAATATATACAATTATTGATTGATACCGAAAATTTGATATCATGTACAGTATTTTAAATGTCTATACAAATTTTAAATAAAGTTGTGAATTTACTGTAGTGAATGCTTTTTTCCAAATCTTTGACAGCTTCCTTTTTTGTGATGTCCAGACAAAACTCTGACTTTTAGTGAGCATATTTGATCAAGATCACTATTTTTATAAATCTTTTAAAAGTAATAAATTGTAAAGGAATAATAAAATTTCATTATTTTTTCCCAACTAAGATTTTGAAAGCAGTTAATCAAAACGACTGTATCGGCCATTTTCACTATTGGCGGCCATATTGGATATTTTGCCGCCGTCTTGCATATTTTTTAGCGGGCATGGAAACAGAAAATTAGGGCTTGCAAAGACCTTTCCAAAAATATATAGTTTGCTATACTTCCAAATAAAATTAGACTCGTTCCTTAAACAAGAGGCCCACGGGCCTTATAGGTCACCTGAGTATCATGTAACAACTTTCCAGTGATTGTATTTGGTTCGTGTTTTAATCCAAAAGCCATGAAATTCACAAATTTTGAAGGAGGTACCATTGCTTATCAAAGGGTAGATTTCAAAGCATTAATTTATTTTTAGTCAAAGTACCCCTCTGGTACCCCTGACCCAGCGGCCCTGAAATTATCTATTTTGAAAGAGGCCCCTTTCTTCATTATAAGGCCAGCATTTTTTTTAATGTTTAGGTTTAGTTATGAACATGAGAATAAAAAAAGTCCCGAAGGAGAAGGAAATAAAAAAATTTTTTTGATAAATCAATTATTTACATTTGTATATTCTTTTTTATGCTATTCTAATAGGCTCTTTACCACTGGGCACATAATGCTTACAAATAGGAAAGTAGAACATTTAATTGCTTATTTCATCATCTGCCAGTTTGGGCCAGTTATATAAATTTTGTGATGTTGGTCAAAATATATTTTAAAAAATCAATTCTTTAAAAGTCTTTCAGTATATCTTCATTTTTTTAATATGTGTTAGGTGAATGTGTAGACATTGTTCTAAAATTTACTTGATGCCTAAATTTATAGTTCCTATCATAAAACAGACGGAGTATTGGGGAGTAGGGTGAACATTTTAAATATTTTTTTCTGGCTGATACAAATGATACTACATGCCTGTATATATTTGTATATTCTTGCCTTTTAATAGTTGAATTTTTTTTTAATTTCTTCAGGTTATTGTTTATTTCTTCCTCAAATGGACTTAACTTCTCCCATAGTTTTATTCATTACATCTGATGCATAAGCAACCCTTTTCTGAAGAATGATGCTTAGACTGTAAGCTATAACAGAGACCTAAACAATGTCGCTGGCAATATGCAATAGCTACCACGGGCAGTTTAAAACCTGGGGGAGGAAAATAATTTACAGACAGATACTTTTGAAACGAATACATAATTATCTCACCAGCATGTCATTGTGCAACAAAGTCGTCAGCATTTTATTTGTCCTTTGAACGGGTGAAACGTTTTGAATGGCACTCGTATCGATGAATTTTACACTAAACCAAGCTATCTTCTCAGATCTAGCTTTATTTACCCGCCGTTTCATCTTAAAACCGGAAGTGCGAGTTCGTAAATTTGAAATCTCGATCCCGACTCAAATTTGACATCGGAAAGAAAAAAAATTCAAAACCTTGAGCGGAGGGTTTGTAAAACTGAAAATAAAATAAATCCTGACCTTAAATATGTAATTAGATCATTAGTATATTAACCAGGAGCAAAGGATAAGATGTTCAAAGAATTCATGCATTTCACTATATAATCATTAGAGCCCCACCCTAAAACAAGAACCCCTGACCCTGGGGCCATAAAATTCACAAATTTGGTAGAGGCACTCTTGCTCATCATAACTATGTACTTAGTTAGTTTATTTAATACCCAGGAGCAGAGAAGAAGATTTTCAAAGAATTCATGTATTTTCACTATATAATCAATAGAGCCCCGCCCTAACACCAGAACCCCTGACCCTGGGGCCATAAAATTCACAATTTTGGTAGAGGCACTCTTGCTCATCATAAC